TAGTGTTACATTAATGGGCACCAAACTCTTTTTTTTTTGTTACATGTTAAATTAATATGAAATTCAAATATTTATTTTATGTTTATTATTCTCTTCGGTCTTTATTATAAGACATTTTGATTTTTCCGAATTTTGTTCTAATTAATATGTTTTTTCCATTGAAAAAAGAAACTTAAATTTATATTTTCACATTTTATTAAAAAAAATTTTTAAGATTTTTTTTCAATTAGAAAAATATATCAGTAAAAACAATCAAAACATACACCTTATAATAAGGACTGGAGGGAGTATTTTGTAGTAATTACTAATTATTCTAATTTGCCCTTTATGATAAAATTGATTCTTCTCAACTCAGAAACGTATGAAAAGTTAAAAACCAAAAATAAGATTTTTTTTTTAATCCATTTTTTTAAATCAAGAAAGGCAAAAATAGTCAAAACAAACTAAATTAAAATTATCTTTGTAGAGGAAATCTGTTTCACCCGAAATATTTTTGTTATTTTAGGAGATCAGAGACCTTGCTATACTTAAGCAAGTTACTCTTCGCCACTCACTGCACCGCACCTATAATCTGTAAAGTGGTGGAGCCGTGAAATTAACATAGAGGTGTAAAATTTCGAAAAGACTTATTAATAAATACTAAAAAGTCAATGTAAGGGGTGCGAAAATTATACAATCTATATTTTTTAATTAAAAATTTGAGATATCTCTACTAATTAAAAAAATTAAACAGGTACGACCGCACCTTTCCGTCTCCCCTATGCAACCAGATTAAACAATCTATAAACCATACATTTCAATATCTCATCTCTGTCGTTGACTTTACGATTTTGTATTCCCTCTTTTTCAAAAAAAAAATTGTTTATCGCACTGATTTAATTAAATAAATAACTTACTATTAAAGCATTAATCTAAGACGAAAAATGTAAGTATTTCTTTCAAACCAAGAATACAGAATAGACCTCACGTAAGCCATAAGCATTATCCTTATAACCACGTCAACGCTAAATAATATAATGTCACCCTCATTCGAAATTATGCCGTACTTAACCAAACATGACTCATCATCTATTTTTTTGGCTGTCAAAATCGACATAAGTGGATGATGCATTTTGGATCCAGAGTAGACAGTTCCACTGACTTTGGATGAACCAATGCTTTCATGTGATTTCCCATTTGTAGGGTTCCCTTTTTTTTTTTTTTTGGGAGAGGGTCACTTAATTAAATTTTTATCCAATCCAACTTATATAGTGGGAACTGGGAAGACGTATACTTTTTGTTGTTACTTCTTTCTAATATCGCTTCCAAAGTTAGACCAGAATTTTTTTTTTTTTCCTTACTAGAGATTGCATCTTATAAGGGCTTTTTTTTTTTCTTTTCTTTGAGATCCTGTAAAATATGCCTGTATATATGGATTTATAACATTATACACAAATTATTAAAAGCATTACATACTCTTCGAACAAGGATGTATGTTATGTGCAAATGCAACCATTTAATTTTACTAATACGAAGAAACAAAGATCGTGAAAAAATCGTCTTAATTATCTTGAAACAATATATCATAGTTTTTTTCGTTTATTTTTTACCTTGAAATGATATGTATATATGGATTTATAACATTATACACAAATTATTAAAAGCATTACATACTCTTCGAACAAGGATGTATGTTATGTGCAAATGCAACCATTTAATTTTACTAATACGAAGAAACAAAGATCGTGAAAAAATCGTCTTAATTATCTTGAAACAATATATCATAGTTTTTTTCGTTTATTTTTTACCTTGAAATGATATTATATACATTTTCTCGGTTGATTTAACTAACATATATAGCTCTTTTAGTGAACAGATTTTGTGTGCACTCTTGACATAATTACAAGTGGCTAGCTCTGGAATACGAGGAAATGTAACTTAACAAAGTGGCAAAACTTAGAGGTAGAAATTGACCTTCAACATAGTACGATTAAATTCGAAGTTTACATTCATCTATAATTTGGTTCAGTGTGTTTCGCTAAGGGAATTCATATCTATCCTCATCCTGTTTTCCCTCGTACTTCTCCAGTCCAATAAAAATAATTTATATCAATCACAAATTGTAACCTAAACATAGCTCTGTAAAAGCCGAGAATGTAAACTATATCAGTCTCATAGATAAAAGACATTGTAAAATCGGACAGTTTTGATATGTTAGCCATTAGACATTCTCGATGAAGTCAAACAGCACCCATTTCTCGGAATGGAGCAGGTTCAATAATTGAGGCATCAGAGATTCCAAATCTGTGGTCAACATTGAAAGAATCTCTTTTGTTTTTCTTGGATAAGTCCATGTGCTAAGTAGTATTGTCATGCTCGGACCGGAACTTGACTCGGCCCAGCCAAGGGGTCGAGCGAATGGGGGGTCGTCTCGGGACGAATCGGGGGGTCGACTCGAATGACGTCATAATGACGTAATAAATATTAATTACTTAATAATTATATTTTTACTTAATAATTTTATATATTTGTCAAATGTTAAAGTTAAATTAATATTTCATAATTTTTAAGTAGGTTTTGATACGTCCAAATTTAACTCGGGAGGTCTATTAGGATGATGTCATTTTCACTAAATAAATAATACTTATTTTTTTAAATCGTTAAGATTAAAAACTTAAATTTTATATCTATTTTCCTATTATAATAGTTGTATTGATATTTTGTAGTAATTAATTATTATTTTTCTGACGTAAATTAGCATACTAATAAAGTAATTAAGATAAATAAATTATTTTTTAGACAAATTATTGAATTTGCGGGATAATCAATATGAACATCAAGAATATGAGATTAAATTTTTGTGATACATTAGAGTTATTATAATATAAATGATTCTTAAAATGACGGAAGTTAGTTTGTGGAGTGAAATTAAAAAAAAAAATCAAAATAGTCCTGTTTAGGAATTAAAATTAAAATTGGGGATTAAAATATCAAACTAATACTCCCTCCATTCCAAAATATATGTCGTTGGAGAAGTTTCACAAAGTTTAAGGAGACAATAAATATTTAGTTAAAATACTAAACTACTCTCATTTATTCTCAATACAATTCTATTTTCAATATTATTTAGTTCTATTACACTTCTAATTTAAATACAATTACAATTTCTCATGTAGGGGCAATGTTGGAAGAAGTTGACAAAATGTGCCTAGATTTGCGAAAACGACATTTATTTTGAAAAAAATTGGTTTTCTTCTAACGATATATATTTTGGAATGGAGGGAGTACTTTGAAAAAAAAATACTCCCTCCGTCCCAAAATTATTGTCCAGTTTACAATTTTATTTTTAGTACAATTTGAACAATAAATTAAAAATAAAACTGGATAATAATTATAGGACGGAGGGAGTAATTACTAAAAGTTTTAGGGTCATTTTGAACAAAAAGAGAAAAATTTGACCTTGAAAAGAAGACATTGGAACTCGGAATCATGAGAAATGTGGAAACGTTTGGTCAATAAGTCAAAATATTTAAAGACCCCGGTCCGATCTGATTTTAACCAATTCTCTGTTCGATCGGGGTCTTGACCGGTTTTGACCGGTTGTTTTTTTTTCCAATTTTATTCTCTACTCGACTTAGGGTCCGGTTTTCGATTAAACCGGTTCAGTCGGCCGATCCAAGCGGAGCTTAACAACACTGGTGCTAAGTACACCATATGGTCCTCTAGTGGTACTTGTCATTATTCTTCTCTTTTTCTCACGAATTGTATATTCTTTGTATGTTCGAATTTCGAAATCCTAATTTATTGTTTTAATAATTCAGATTCGATTTATGTAAAGTAGTTAAAAAGATAAAAATCCCTACAGATAGTTTATGTCCAACAAGGCATCGATTCAGCAGCCTTAATCAGTGGAGTATTAAAAAATAATTAATCAAATCAACTAATGCATAATCCTATTAATTAATTTTGAGTAGGAACTAAATATTATATATCCAGTTGCCATTGATGCTGACTTGAAATGCTTTGGACTATGTTGTTCCAAGGAAGTGACGCTTAATCATCATAAGTTAATTAATTTATATGATAAAATGTATTCAGTGGAGGTACATGCTCACATGATTTTTGTTAATAATCTAATTAGTTTCGGACTTATCAACTTTGGATCTACGCTGTATCAAGCCACATATTATTTTCCTACATGGTGTTCTAACATATAATTAACGCCAAATGCGTATCATTCCTTATATCATGAACCTACATGTATTTTTCGATCATTTACGGTATTTATAACCATCTAGCATATTCCCTATTGGAGTTCTTAGAACATGAATTCAAAATTGATATCTGAATAATGTGAAATGCATTATAGTCAGTTAAATGAGTGAGTGTGACAGCGGTCTTTCTCAAAATGTATTTTCCTTCATTCAGGGTATAATTCCGATCATTTATCAGCACAAAAATAAAGAAACCCATCAAAACAAAATGATACACATAACATTTTGCAAAGGTTTGAAGCACTCAATATAACCTTTAGAATTTCTATATTCATTATCTAAATTTTTATTATTGATTTTTACAAATTTGACAATGCTCATGGTATGTAATAGAAACGTATTAACAACGCAACATCAATATTAACGACGCAACATCATTTTTAGTAGCGTCATACTTCATACACTTGAGTACAAACTATAAATTCTGCATATTTGTTGCTTGATTTTTCTTATCTGACATGTAAATTTTCACCATTAACGAAAGATTAATCTAACAAAGAGTTTGCACTTCTTGTCCTCAATGGTATTTCGGCCCATCAAATCATGCATTCCATGAAAACGAAAAAACTAGAATACAAGTCCAAAAGAGTAATAATTAAAGAACCGTGTCCTTATCAACTTAAATTTCAAAGAAATATATTACTGTACTGTTGTATTCCACTCCTGAATTCGATTGCGTCATCAAAAAGCTGATTCTCCTATCACTAAACACACCATTCACTTATCTCATTGGCCTTCGATAAGTTCCCTTTACCCCCAATAAATTTAAAATTTTAATTAATTCCCCATAATCTTTTGATAGATTTGCACAAAAGCCCTTTTCTCTCGTGACGTGTCCCTACCCTCTCACACACCATTTTCCGTTCTCTTTTGTTTCTCTCTCTATAAATACAGCTCCGTGCTTCACTCCTTTCTCTCTCACGCACTCACACACTGTAAGAGCTTACATTGTCCCCATTTGATCACAGCTTAAAAAGCCCTAGTTTCCGGAACATTCCATTGATAAACACTGAAACACGCAAATAAGTGCAGAGTCGGCGTCGACGGCGACGGTGGTGGTGTTGGTGGAGGCGGAAGTATTTCTGAGGAGAGGTGGTTGTGCTGTATGTCAGTGGATTACTGTAGAAACTTTTGCGGTGGATTTGGATTGGAAGAGTTAGCGAATCAGTTACAATGGCCACAGCTACGAAAACGGCGACGTCACTGGCTCCGCCTTCCTCCGCCGGAGAGTCCTCTGACGTCATCGTGCGACGGCAGCCGGGTGCTACTCCTTCTCCGTTGCAGAACTGGAGCGAAGATCATCAGACAGGGAAGAAGGCAGCCGCGGTGGTTCGCTCTGAGCCATCGACAAATGCAACAACCAAAGGTACTCTTCTCCGCCGGCGTATATTCCCGAACATATTGATAAATATGCGTCATTTGCATTAGTCTGTAGCGTTTATATGTATGCATAGTGTGCTCTGCATATCTGCTATATGTCGTTTGTTTGTTTGTACGTGTCCTGTTGTTATTGTAAAATAATGACGTAAAATGATCTTAAATCGACTACTTTTATCTGTTTGCTGGAAGGCCTAGGCTGAGAGGCGGTGTAACTGTTTGATTTTTTTGGATTCATTGCATGGTTTTAAGTTTTTGGGGTTATCTTCGTTTGTGCCTATTCCTAATTTAGAACTGAAAGTGTTTATTTCAGGTCAAACTACCCTGTTTTGGTTAACTGTTGGGTTTTTTTCTTGGTTTAGTTGGTTTAAAATTTAAAGTAATGGTTGTTGATGGAAAGATTTCCCTGTAAGAATTTATGTATTCGTTATATTTGCTGTTGGAGAAATTAAAAGTTTTATGTTTTAACTGAAAATTTTTCTTGAGGAAATACACCTTTTCTATCAATGGTTTGATGAACCTACCCTGCCTTCTGCATATTGTGTTATCACTGCTGTTTTGGTCGCCTGGCAATTTATACTATATAGTTCTTCTTCTTCATTGGGTTAAACTTGTCTTGAGCTCCTGACAAACTACTTGGACTCCAAAAGTACTAGAGATATCTCTGTTTCAGCTTTTATTGTAAAGTTGGCTGACTTTCGATAAGTCTAGATTTTGTTGAAGTGTTGAATTTGACAACATTCCTAGTGGTACTGAATTCCAGTCACTTGCAAAAATGGAGCTGAAATTAAAATTGGTGTTCTTTATTTCCTAAACATTTATCATTTGCCATTTGGATGGTTTCTGTGGTTCTCAGTCACAAATTAATGCACTTTTCTGGAGATGGTTACAATGATATTCTAGGATTTCAACACATTCCAAGTGCTTGAACCTCACTTTGAATTATGTGTTTCTGATTTCATTCTGAAACTGCTCTATGTGCAAATATTCCTTTAACATTCAGTAGGTATTTGTTGTTTTGAAAGCCTCTGTTGTTTTTAGGCTGCATTTCAATAATTTTTTGTAGTTCTTTTCCTATTTAAGGGCTATTGACAGTATGTGTTCTGTATTTTTTGAATATATATGTGTAAAATGTACCTCTAGGTCCATTATGAAGTTGAGAGTAATGATGGTGAGGCATGTTGCCATAGTTGAAACTCATTAGGTTATTATTTAGCCTTGACTATACCGATTGTAGTAAATCATTGGTGTTTGGTCTTGTTTGGAGCTTTTCAATTGTGTATGCCTTATGTATGCCGATACCTACCTCTATTTCAGTTATTCTGTTGATCTCGTGCAGGTATTCAGGTCCCACTAAGAGCCCAAACCTGTCATCCTTTGGATCCTTTAACCGCTGCTGAAATATCCATTGCTGTAGCAACTGTTCGTGCTGCTGGTGCAACTCCTGAGGTATGTATAATCCTGTATTGCTCTGCTGGTTCCTTTCTTATCTTTTTCCATGAAAATAATGGTTTCACATTGCTTCTGTGTTTTGGTTTCAGCTTAGAGATAGTATGCGATTCATTGAAGTGGTGCTCCTGGAACCAGAAAAACATGTAGTTGCTCTAGCAGATGCGTACTTCTTCCCCCCATTCCAACCATCTCTACTTCCCAGAACAAAAGGAACACCTGCTGTTCCCAGTAAGCTACCACCAAGGCAAGCTAGGCTAGTTGTTTACAACAAAAAGTCAAATGAGACTAGTGTATGGATTGTTCAGCTTACTGAGGTGCATGCTACAACTCGAGGTGGACACCATAGGGGAAAGGTTATCTCTTCAACAGTTATTCCAGACGTCCAGCCACCTATGGTATACTTTCAATACATTGCATATTTCACGCTTCCAATGTTCGCTTCGTTTTTCCAGCTAATTTGCCACATTTTTCGATGCTTCACCCTTATGAGTTTAGGAAAATTCTCTCAGCAAATCTTATTTTTCGTTCGAATGTCTGTTTCTAAGTTTTATGGCATTTAATAGATCAAATCACTATTTTCTATGTTTAATATATAAACATATTTTCTCCTAATGTAAGTGAAACCCTGACAAAGAGCAACAATGACTTTATCCCACTATTGACACTCTTGCATTAAAGGCCTCAGAATCAATGTGTTTGGGGGGCCATTGTGCATCATCTTTACAAATTACATCTATTATTGAAAGTCAGTTTATTTGGATGTTTAGTGCTGAAATCCGCTGAAATATAAGCTTTTCAATCAAGAAAATGAACTCTTTTTAAACTCATCTGAAAAGTCTTAGTAGTTTTAGAAGTGGTTTAAATATGTGTCAGGTCTATACTATGCTGTATTCCCCGAATATTTTCGTTCTTCTCAACTCAAAAGATCGCATAAGTGGAAACGTTTATGAGAATGTGTTTATAGCTATATTTGTATTTCTAAATAGGTCTTGCATATGGACAGTATGAGCTTGTATCGAGCAGTGAAATCAGTTATTGCTGGATTACATGGACAATTTATTTTAGGGTTTGAATCCCTTTTCCTGTATTTTGTTTGGCGGCATCAACTGCTTTCAAGAGAGGCATAGTTGTCATATGCATTTGCACTTTGTTGTGAGTTTCTTCTATCGGAAGCTGTAAAATAAAATTGATTATACTATCCTTATGTCCTAACCACTTGTATGCATTTAGTTGCTTGCGTGATATCTAGAGGTGATGGATGTTTTGACCATTATCCTATCTCCCTCTCTCTAAGGTGTGTTCATAATTTCAAAATTTCTAGGATGCTGTTGAGTACGCTGAGTGTGAAGCAGTTGTAAAAGATTATCCTCCCTTCATTGAAGCAATGAAGAAGAGGGGTATCGATGACATGGATCTTGTTATGGTAGATGCCTGGTTAGTGACCTTTGTGCTGAACTTCGAGAATTAGCTAATTGCAACTGTCAAATATCTAAAAATTTACTTTTTGCAGGTGTGTTGGTTATCACAGCGATGCCGATGCTCCAGGCCGAAGACTTGCTAAACCACTGATATTCTGTCGGACAGAGAGTGATTGCCCCATGGAGAATGGTTATGCACGACCTGTTGAAGGAATTCACGTGCTTGTTGACATGCAAAATATGGTTGTGATTGAATTTGAAGACCGTAAACTAGTTCCCTTACCTCCAGCTGATCCTCTGAGGAATTATACTCCTGGCGAGACAAGAGGGGGTGTTGATCGCAGCGATGTGAAACCTCTACTAATCACTCAGCCTGAGGGTCCAAGCTTCCGTGTGAATGGACATTACGTGGAGTGGCAAAAGGTGTTTCGTCTTTTCATTTTCTGGCTCATGAATTTGTTTATAGCATTGGTTATTGACAACTAACTAGGTATATTTTTTCGTTGTACAGTGGAACTTTCGTGTTGGCTTTACACCGAGGGAGGGCTTAGTTATACATTCTGTTGCCTATGTTGATGGTAGTCGTGGAAGAAGACCCATTGCTCATCGATTAAGTTTTGTGGAGATGGTTGTGCCTTATGGGGATCCCAATGATCCGCATTACAGAAAGAATGCATTTGACGCTGGAGAGGATGGTCTCGGGAAGAATGCTCATTCTCTGAAAAAGGTTTGACCAAAATCAGCATTTTCTTCTTCCCTTTTCCTAATGAACTTCCATCGGCAGTTAGTCTTTACTAGCTATATTATTAGTACGTAATCAAGGAAACATTGCATTTCAGGGATGTGATTGCTTAGGGTTTATAAAGTACTTTGATGCCCATTTCACAAATTTTACTGGAGGAGTTGAAACCATTGAAAATTGCGTTTGCTTGCATGAAGAAGACCATGGAATCTTGTGGAAGCACCAAGACTGGAGAACAGGCCTAGCAGAAGTTCGAAGGTCAAGGCGGCTTACAGTTTCCTTTATATGCACTGTGGCTAATTATGAATATGGGTTTTATTGGCATTTTTACCAGGTATGTGTGCTTAGCATTTTGCTTAGCACCCAAGACACGTAGTTTTTTAATCTGTAGGTATTGAAACAAGAAATTTTGCGTCTCAATTTGGTTGACATATACTGCAAATCCATTTCATGCAATCATCAAATCCTTGGGCTCTGAAATTGTGACTACATGCAATTGCATAATATTCAGACCTAAGTCTTTGGTAACCTTAGATTCTGGAAATAGAACCTTTAAGGAGACAGGGCGAAGCACAAGATACTATTAAAGCCTGCAATATGTTGAACCGTGTCATCCATGAGTGAACGCATTGGGGGTGGGCATGGGTGGGTAGGGATAAATGGGAGAGAAATGATAAAAACTGGCATGTACTGACGTATAACAAATGTATGCATAAAGAAGCACACTTTGGCTACAACTATGAGTAAATTTTTGTGATTCTCGTCGTAGAAATCTTCCGTATTTGTTGGTTGCCTGGAAGGGAACTATGGCGCAGCTCAAAGAGCTGTTTCTTTTATCGTTTGTTCCAGTTTTGGGAACAGCCTATTGTATTTAAAATATAACTAAGAAGGCTTGCCAGGATTGAACCTTAATTGCTAGACTTTTTATCCAGACCCCCTGCACTTGGAAATGCTTCTATGCCCTAGACCCTCCTTAGTTGTAGCCTGAGGTTGATATACTTTCAGCTGGATGCTACCTTATTTGCTATGAATTTTCCTTGTAATGTCTGTATCTCTTTTGACTTGGTGGTTGTTTTTTCTTTTTCCCATTTCCAAGTGCAGGACGGAAAAATTGAGGCAGAAGTTAAACTTACTGGAATTCTCAGTTTAGGGGCACTTCAACCTGGAGAATCTCGAAAATATGGCACTAACATTGCGCCAGGATTATATGCTCCTGTTCATCAACATTTTTTTGTTGCTCGTATGGATATGGCAGTTGATTGCAAACCTGGTGAAGCTTACAATCAGGTATTTTTTTAGTGTTTGAAAGCACATTTACTTAACGTTAGCAAATGAAGATATTTGCATGACTTCTAGTTGCCTTCTTTTTTAGGTACTTGTAACAGAGGTTACCGTTTTGTCACCTGGATCATGATCTGTTGTGACATTTTCATTTTGCCTTTTAGGTTGTTGAATTGAATGTAAAAGTTGAAGAACCTGGGAAAGATAATGTTCACAACAATGCATTTTATGCAGAAGAAACAGTGCTTAGATCTGAACTGGAAGCTATGCGAGATGTTGATCCTTTCTCCGCTCGCCATTGGATTGTGAGTGTTTCTTTCTGTATTGTATATACCTTACGATTTAGCTTCTTACTAGGCGTCAAAAGGATTAGCTGTGATGGAATAATTATTTAACCTTAAATAATCTCTCTCCTCTGCTCTTTTATACTTTCTTGTCGCTTTAGGTAACTTGGAGATTTGTCTTCCGGTAACGAAAAAGAATAACGAAAACTGTCTTTTGTTTAAAATACCAAAAATAGCATATTATCTTGTTCATATTTCTGTTCAGACCTGCTTGTTGATGACTAATGACGTTACAGCTTCGTGATTTCTGATGTCTTTCTGATGACCAGACTTATGATCTATGTGCCCTTTAATTACTTGGTGAGCTCTATATAAGGTCTTTTCCGAGTGTTCTTGGCTCGGGAGACTTCTACGTTTCAGTTGTATTTTCAGCTTTTCGCTCGTAATAAATTCTCTTTACAGTTTAATTTGTAAACTTTGGGAGTTGTGTTCAATTCTTCAAAGTACGTGATTTGTATGAAAATAACCTAGGAGGCTTTAAGCTTAAGATTAAGACAACTTGTGACTAACTGTCATCATCGTTTTTGGTTGTAGTGATACAAGAGTCAGAAAGAACCTGAAAAATGGGAACCCTAAAGTTAGGAGTTGTCTGTAATTGTTACCTTAACTTGCTGAAGATAATTTTAGCAGTCATGTTTCATCACTCTTTGCCCATTTGATATTTTAGGTAAGGAACACCAGAACAGTAAATAGGACCGGACAACCAACGGGTTACAAACTAGTTCCTGGTTCTAACTGTTTACCCCTGGCTGGTCCTGAGGCTAAGTTCTTGCGAAGGGCTGCATTTTTGAAGCACAATTTATGGGTTACCCAATATGCACGTGGAGAGGACTTTCCTGGTGGAGAATTTCCTAACCAGAATCCTCGTGTTGGAGAGGGATTGGCTTCTTGGGTTAAGCAAAATCGCCCGTTGGAAGAGACTGATATTGTTCTGTGGTTAGTGTTTACTGATACCATGGCAAACTTATGTTGCAATAGTGTTAAGTTGGTTTGCATCAGCAATAATTCCTTCTTAATTTCTCAAACCTCTCCCTAATTTTGATTAAATTGATTTGCATAAGCAAATATTGTTTCATTGTTTCTTGAACTAAATAAAGTAGCAAAATGAACAACCTAATTTATCTCTAATTTTGAATAATGATTTGTGGTTTACCTGCGCGAATCAATGTGTTTGGGGTTTATCTCTAATTTTGTATATAGCTTCATATCGTTCACGTCTTAATTCAATGGTCTCACAGTTCGATACTTTACCTCGTCTCTTCACATAGGTATGTGTTTGGGATTACTCATGTTCCACGTCTGGAAGACTGGCCTGTTATGCCCGTGGAGCGCCTTGGTTTCATGCTTCAGGTTGGCTTCTTTTGTATCCCTATATTTCCACTTTGGAACTTGCCTTTGCACTGAGAAGACCTCGATTATTTTGATGACTATTATTTCAACGCAACTCCGTGTTTCTGCCTTTGTGGGTGTTTACTAAGTCCTGTTCAGTATCACAATTTTGTTGGTGGCCATTTAATCTTTACAGCATGGTTTATTCATCCTCTCATTGGTTCTAGAAATAATTCTTGTTGGCTTACTTGGTTTGGTTGTTGTTCAAGTTTGCATACTTCCCGATCTTGTACAGCCAAATTTGTTACACATAAATGGAAGAGAGGCTGATTTATTTGCAGATTTAGGAATTTGACAGCAGCAGTTATAGTTACTGGAGAGTTTGATGTCACTTAATCATGCCATGACAATTAAACTTTTTTGTCTTGAGATTGATATCTTTGCCAAGAAATTCCAGTAAGCCCAATTTGAGCATTATGTCAATTAATAACCCAACCCTACTGTCAAGAAGAAACTTACATGGAGACCAATTCAATTTCAGATGCTTGAGTTCTCAACCTTCTGTCATCTGTTCCTTGTTATTTATCCTTTTCTTGTAGTATATCAAAAAATCTTGTCAAACATTGGTGATGTTGATGGTTAATTCGTCATGGCTTTTCCTCGTTTTCTCTGAATCACTGGTTCTGGTTTGATGTGATAGGTGTTTTCTCTTGCTTTAGGTCCCATTTTGCTGGTGATAGAAACAGTTTTTCTATCTAATTGTTTGATTTTTTTGATGGTTTATTCATTTTATTTTATTAATATCTGTTTCATTCCAGCATACCTTTTTACATTTCCAAAACTTCTTTTTACATTCCCAATACAAAAAACACCTAAAACACACACACTAAAAAAACGAAACAAACATACCCAGCTTTGAACATTTTTTTGACTACAGTTGTATCCGAAGTTAATCCAATATTTGAGTGTTAGTGCCGAGGGTTACTAGTTTACACGTTTTCATTTTTGCAGCCTCATGGATTCTTCAATTGCTCACCTGCGGTAGATGTTCCGCCCGGTGCATGTGAGGTCGACAGCAAAGACAACGATGTCAAAGAAAGCAGTGTAAAGGCAATCCCAGCCAGTAGTATAATGGCGAAACTCTGATCAAAATCTTTGGCACTGTCACTCCGAGGCCTCGTTGTTTGTCCCCTGGTAGTAAATAAATGGACTGGAAACTTTCCTTATGTTTTGAAGCAGTGTAGATTACTGTTTTTCTGTTTGGCGAACTTTTGAAAGCGTACTGTGTTACCCTTCATAGAATGGTGCTTTCAATTTCCCAACAAAAGTAAAAAATAAAAAAAATTGTGGCTTGTTTCATTTTCTTTTGCATAATGGAGAACGTGAGAACTGAGAGACGAAAAATTCATTTACCACAAAAAATCCTCAACTTGGAACTCTGTAAAATGAACTCTCCAGTCATTCTTTTCATCCCCCTTTAAAATGTACCAGGTCCAATTTTCCTCTCATACTCCAGAAAGCAATTTTAAAAGGATACTAATAATTCCAGTTACTATTGTTGTGTTTATTTTCTAATAAAATCACTTTTCTTTTTTCCAAAAAGAAAAGTTATTGCATTCGACAGTGATTAATAATTGCTGAAAAAATAAAAATGATTTAGAACTTTATTTCCAAATACAGTATTTTGTGTTGTTAGCAATAGTGTGAATGTGGGGAGCAAATGGATTCAACATCCAAGTCCTATATCTCCATATATATTAAGAGAGAGTTTTCAATCAGACACATAACGTATAATTAAATAGAGTAATCCACATGGTGAAAAATTAGATAAGTAAGTCCATATATCGCCACCACATCGTTCCATCATTTAATGTTAATTTTTATATATGAAATTTGTAAAATATATAAATAAGCAATTATTATATTATATTTATATATAATAATCCACAAGATAATGTGTGCTACGGGCAAAAAAAAAAATAAAAAAATAAAACAGCCATAGTCTTTTACAAAAGCAATAGGATATTTTTTGGTGTTTCGATGAAAATTCGAGGTTGTATCCAGTATACCCGGGGGCACCGTGCCCCCCTCCTATTTTTTGTATTTTTAGTCCTTATTGTACTTTTTTCTTAATCTTTCTATATTTTACAAGTTTAGTCCCTGTGACTTTTTTTTTTCTCTCTTTTAAAAAACATCTCTAATCTTTCAACGAGTATATCTCATAATCCGTAAAGAATTAGAGAACTTATTATGCATGAAAATTATAATACTCGTCGAGATCTATTCAACAAGATCCATTTCGAATATTTTTTTTTAAATTAAGAATGACTAAATTTTGATGGGCAGAATAAGTTGGATAACCAGTATGAACAGAATGGATATCCAGTTTAAAAAGATGGATAACCAACTTATTTTATATTCATATTATTCTTTTCCTTGTATCCAATCTTTCAACGAGCATATCTCTCAATCCGTGAAGAATTTGTGAACGAATTATATATGAAATTTATAGTACTCTACGAGATCTATCCGACAAGATCTATGTTGAATATTTTTTTGAACTTTAAATGCATTGAAATTTTACGGGCAGAAATGAATAAATGTGTTTTTTGTTTTTCTTTGAAAAATAGTTATCCGTTATGTTCCTACTGATTATTCAACCGGATTGGACTGATTATCGATTCTATTCGTACTTGTTATCTAATCATATGTTTGACATTCACTCTTCAAAAAAAAAAAAAAAAGATGGATAACCACTTCTATTCTGTCCGTCAGAATTAATTCATTTTTAAGCTCGAAAAAATGTTCACTGTGGATTTCGTTGGATAGATCTCGACGAGTACTATAAATTTCATATATAATTCTTTCACAAATTCTTCACGGATTGGGAGATATGCTCGTTGAAAGATTAGAGTTGGATATGCATGAACACAGTGGATATCCAGTACAAACAAGTTGGATAATCAGCATGAACACAGTAGATAACCAGTATTAGCGCATTGGATAATCAATATAAACATATTGGATAACCAGTTCAAACAATTTGGATAACTATGTAAATCCATTGGATAACCAGTATTAGCGCATTGGATAACCAGTATGAACAGAATGGATATCCAGTTTAAAAAGATGGATAACCAACTTATTTTACATTCATATTATTCTTTTCCTTGTATCTAATGATTCGTAAAGAATTATAACATAAATTATATATGGAATTTATAGTACTCGACGAGATCTATCCGATAAGATCCTTGTTGAATATTTTTTTTGAACTTTAAATGCATTTAAATTTTACGGGCAGAAATGAAGAAATGCGTTTTTTGTTTTTCTTTGAAAAATGGTTATCCGTTATGTTCCTACTGATTATCCAACCGGTTTGGACTGATTATCCATTCTATTCGTACTTGTTATCTAATCATATGTTTGACATTCACTCTTCAAAAAAAAATAAAATGATGGATAACCACTTCTATTCTGCCCGTCAGAATTAATTCATTTTTAAGCCCGAAAAAATGTTCATTGTGGATTTCGTTGGATAGATCTCGACGAGTACTAAAATTTCATATATAATTCGTTCACAAATTCTTCACGGATTGGGAGATATGCTCGTTGAAAGATTAGAGTTGGATATGCATTCCAACTAAATGGATGGATATCCAGTACAAAACAAGTTGGATAATCAGGATGAATACGGTAGATAATCAGTACAAATAATTTGGATAAGCATGTAAGTCCATTGGATAACCAGTATTAGCGCATTGGATAATCAATATGAACACATTGGATATCCAGTTTAAGAAGATGGATAACCAACTTATTTTGAATTAAGAAGTTGGATAACCAAATGGATAAGTAGTAGAAACAAAATGGATAACCAGTTCAAACGGATTGGATACTCAGCATGAACACGATGGATAACCAATTTAGAACAAGTTGGTTATCCATCTTGTAAAACTGGATATCCACCCCTATTCTGTCCATCAGAATTAAGTGATTTTTAAACCCGAAAAAATATTCGCTATGGATTTTGTTGGATAGATCTCGACGAGTACTATAAGTTTCATATATAATTCGTTCACAAATTTTTCACGGATTAGGAGATTTGCTCGTTTAAAGATTAGGGATGTTTTTTTTTTTAAGAGAGAAAAAAACTCACAGGGACTAAACGTGTAAATATAGAAAGATTGAGAAAAAAGTACAATAAAGACTAAAAATGTAAAAAATAGGAGGGGGGCACGGTGCCCCCGGGTATACTGGATAATTTGTCAATTTTCTAACAAAACAAAACAAAACTAAACTAAAAGAGCAATAGAAATTACCTTCTGTTTCTGAACAGGGATTCCATAGAAGAACCCATGTAAAGCTTCATGCATAGCCGTCTTAAACCTCCGAAAGCGGCCTTTGGCCATGCCAAATACCTTGCCAGAAGTCGTCAACTCATTTACCCCAACAAGTAGAGTTTTGCCAGGACATTGCGGTAACAACAACATGAATTTGGCAGGTTCGGTTTGAAAAAAAAAAAAAACCCAAACGTTTATTAGTTCAGGGAGGAAGAGAAAGAGAAAGCAAAGATGGCCTATATTTTAAACCATTCACTTTTGACATACTTTTTTTCCTAGTTCGAAACCTTTCATATTTTATTGCCGATTTTTCTTACATTTTTTTTTTTAAAAAAAAAAAACGAATGCAAATGAGAATTAATAGATGGCAGTGTAATGTATTATTTGAGAATAGGAGACACATGAGTAAATTATTAGACCTAGAAAAAATGAGAAATTAAAACTCACTTTTCTTCTGATCTAAAACGCGAGTGGTAACGTCCTTATCCTCCCAAGAGAAGTAGCGGGGGGAAGTTGCCAATCTCCTCACGCTCGTAGCAGAATTGCGAAACTTTGAACCAAAAAAAAAATAATAATAAATAGAAAATTTAAAATTATAAAACAAATTAGTAAATGAAACAAATTATTACAGTGTATTAATGTGTGAACAATTATAAGAAGGAATTCCCATTTTCGTACCTTTAAACTCTTTTGAATGCAATCAAACACTTTTCTTCCAAACATGGCCATAGTACGTAATATTCCTTCTAAAAAAAAGGAGAGGGAGAATAACAAACAAATGATCCATCGTTAACAAATAGAGAATGAATTAAAGAATGTATTCATGACTAATTAAAATAAAAAAAATCTTAGAAAACAAAAAAAAAAAAAAGACAAGAAAATCCAAGTCCTATGTATGAGAATAGTAATACTCAGTACGTAATAGTATCTTTTAATTATTTTCATTTGGAGAATGTCATAGTACACGTTTTTTTTTTTTTTAATTTCAATGTCGTCTTTTCTTTTCTCTTTTTTTTTTTCATAAAAAAAACTTGTGAAAAATCCTACCCGTAGTCTAATCTCTAAAGGTGACATTTATTAAGGTGGGGATTGTTTTTGCTTTTGCAGGTTGAGTGTCAAACTTACAAATACCTTTTCACCAAAGTATAGTACAAGAAAGTACAAAAGAGACATACACAAATCCCAGCAAATAATATTCAGAAACGGTTTCAAAACAGAAGAAAGCAAAAAGGAAGAAACCATTTTTAGGCCTAAGTTGGGAAAATAACACAAAAGATATTAGAAAAGGAAAGAGTCTAGATTAATTTAGTCAACAGTAAAACTCGAGGCTGTATCCAGTATACTCGGGGGCACCGTGCCCCCTCCTATTTTTTGCATTTTTAGTCCTTATTGTACTTTTTTCTCAATCTTTCTATATTTTATAAGTTTAGTCCCTGTGACTTTTTTCTCTCTCCTTTAAAAAATATCTCCAATCTTTCAATGACCATATCTCATAATCCGTAAAGAATTAGAGAATGTGTTATGCATGAAAATTATAGTGCTCGTCGAGATCTATTCAACAAAATCCATTTCGAATATTTTTTTTGAGTTTAAAAATGATCAAATTTCTTTGGGCAGAATTAAGTTGGATAACCAGTACAAACAATTTGGATAACCATGTAATTCGTTGGATAACCAGTATGCACGAGTTGGATAACTAGTATGAATACAGTGGATAACTAGTTCAAACAATTTGGATAACCATGTAAATCCATTGGATAACTAGCATTAGCGCATTGTATAATCCAATACAAACCAATGATTGGATAACCAATACAAACGAGTTGGATAACCAACTTGGTTTATTATTTTTTTAAAAAATAATAAAAACAAAAACCAGGTTGGATATATAATACTAATTAGTTGGATAATCTGTCCATCAGAATTAAGTCATTTTTAAGCCCAAACAAATGTTCACTGTGGATTTCGTTGGATAGATCTCGACGAGTACTATAAATTTCATGTATAATTCGTTCACAAATTCTTCACGGATTGGGAGATATGCTCGTTGAAAGATTAGAGTTGGATATGCATACAAACCAAATGTATAGATATTCAGTACAAATAAGTTGGATAACCAGTATGAACAGAATGGATATCCAGTTTAAAAAGATGGATAACCAACTTATTTTACATTCATATTATTCTTTTCCTTGTATCTAATGATTCGTAAAGAATTATAACATAAATTATATATGAAATTTATAGTACTCGATGAGAT